ACACTCCTACGCAGCATGTAACGTTAGTCGTCGTGAGCGACGGTACGACGACACACGCGCACACCACTCTCGGCGGAGTATATATATATATATATATATATATATATCCATTAAACGTGTATGAATGGTCCTCAGTGTGAACCTTCGTACGTAGTATTGCACAGACTTAGGCCGCAACCCACCCACCCACCCACTCACTCATTCATACATCACACACAAGGAATTATACACTCACATCACACTCACACGAACAGCTACAACCGTGCGCACACTCACCTCGCAACGTCCTCAAAGAAGTCCACAAACCGGTACGATGTGGGGTTCAAGAAATGGTAGGTATTATTGATGCCGTCCCGAACTTCGGGCGTTGCGGTGGTCACGTGCGCGATGGTATCGGCTACAAAGTCCACGGGGCAGCAGTTGAGCTTGTTGACCATTTCAGGCGCCACGCCCAACTCAATGCAACCTTTCACCAGGCGCACCAGGTAATCATCCACGTTCGTAACACCTGTGAGAGCCATAGTAGAACAAGGAAAGGGGTTTGGAACGCGTTCGTGTAGCCGTTAGTTGAGTGGATCATGTCGTTGACGAGATGTGAAGGGCATGCCAATGCGTGCAGTATAAGACGTGGTTATGTGTACAGAATGGTTAAGGGTAGTTTGTACATGATGCACACCCCCGATTATGGGGTTCAAAGGCTTGCCGATCATCATATTGTTCCGAAACCAAACGTAACGTCAATTTGTCTACTTTATATGTACATGTATATATGCATGTGTATGTGCATATGAATATATATATACATATATATACACACATACACATACATATATGTATAGTTAAGTTGTGTAGATATATATATTAGTGGGTAGGTAGGTAGGTAGGTAGATAGATAGATATAGATAAACATATAAAAGATATTGATATACATAAATCTTGTTGACTACTGCCACGAAGTAGCTTGATACTAACACCCTCCCATATATCCTACTTGGGACATGTGACACAGGTATACCTGCATCAATGTTAGCAATATCGATTGACATACCTGTGCGCGAGTCTCCGGTGATGTAACTTGATCTGTAGACGTACGTAGGCAGGCCACGCTCCGCAGCTAGTGCAATGATATTCTCGGCCACCCACTTAGTTTGACCATAACCAGAGCCAATGCCTACAACAGCCGCAGAGACGATAAGTAAATGTGTGAGTGAATAGGCGGAGGTGCAAGGACATCCCAGACGCATCTACGCACGTCTATATGTACTAGCAGAAGTAAACACGACAAATGCGAATAGAAACACGCGTTTTACACACCATGCGCATAAGAAGCATACGAACAGGAATATACAATGTACATAAAGCAACGGTACACACACAGAGACACATGAACGATGAAAACACGTGGCTACAGGTAGATATACACCGAAGCAAGGAAAGATGCACCTACTCTACTCAGAAGGAGAGTTGCATATATACATACATCATACTTAAATACGAGATGAATACTCATACACACATAAATCATACTTACAGAGATGGAACACATACTCATACATATACACATATAAATGTAAATACAAAAACAAAAATACATACACATACACCCCACATCAAGGTAGCACCATCCACACTCACACCGCTCACAACACCTACACCTACCGTTACCAGCCACCAACACCACTCACAACACCTACACCTACCAACCACCAACACCGCTCACAACACCTACCGTTACCAGCCACCAGCGGGTCACGTTCCTTCACGGGCTGCGTGAGTCCTAAGTAGTGCGACGCCTCAAACACAGCCGTAGACGAGACAAAGTGGAAGGGCTTGCGCTTGTGTGTGCACGCGAGGGCCAACAGACTCACCACCGACGTGACATTGGCCGCCTTGAGCTTGGCGTAGGGGTAGACTAAAGTGTAGGGAGGTATAGTGGAGATGAGCTAAAGGGATAGGCTGTAGAGTAGGGTGGTATAGTGAAGCTTAAGCGATAGACTGTGGGGTAGAGTGGTATAGTGAAGGTGGGCTTAAGGAATAGGCTGCAGGGAAGGGTGATATAGAAATGGTCAGCTTGAAGCGGGAAGGGCGGTGTAGTGAATGTGAGTGCGCGTGGGCTTTAATTGCAACTGCGATTGAGATGCGAGCTATGAAAGTGTGTGTGTATATGTGTATGTATGTGTGTTTGTATATATATATATATGTGTGTGTGGGTATGTGGATGTGTATATGCATGCGAGTGTGGGTGTATGTGTACGTGTCTGTGTGTGGGTATGCGTGTGGTTGTGGAGGTATGCGTAACAAGTGCCTGTGTCAGAACCACAGTGCCCATGACACTGTACTAACACGTCTGTAAGCTAGCAAGCAAGCACACATCCATACACACTCATGTGTGATACATGATTAGACATACATACCCCAATGAACTGATACACGCCCATGTGAAGTGCATAGTTATACATAAATACATGTATATATATATATACATATATACATATACACACACATATAATACATACATACCCCAGTGAACCAAGGCTCCATTGTGGACAATGAGGTCCACCTTAGTAGCCCATTCGTCCCACACAGCAGCGTCTACGCCACACGTGTTGTCTTCCGCTGACAAATCTCCGCACACGGCATTAATGCGATGGCCGTAGTCGTCTCGCCACAGAAAGTGTTGTTTCAGCGCCTTCTCCACTCGCGCATAGGCAGCCGCACTGCACACGTGCAGAGGATGAGAGATGAGGAGGAGGGGCGTGTGTAGGTAAGTGTGGGTGTGTGTAGGTTAGTGTGGGTGTGTGTAGGTTAGTGTGTGTGTGTGTAGGTTAGTGTGGGCGTGTGTAGGTAAGTGTGGGTGTGTGTAGGTAAGTGTGGGTGTGTGTAGGTTAGTGTGGGTGTGTGTAGGTTAGTGTGGGTGTATGTAGGATAGTGTGGGTGTGTAGGTTAATGTGTGTGTGTGCAGGTTAGTGTAGGTAAGTGTGTGTGTGTGTAGGTAAGTGTGTGTGTGTGCAGGTAAGTGTGGGTGCGTGTAGGTTAGTGTGAGTGTGTGTAGGTTGGTGTGGGTGTGTGCAAGATAATAAACGTTCGTGGATATAAGTTCATGAACGCCTTATTTGTTCATTTGTGGATCAAGAATTCATTGGTCGAAGGAGTCCTGCTGATAAATGCTCGAATTACATACACGAAGATATAACAAACTGCATGGCACACATGGCAGCATATGCACAGCTACATACTCATCTTTCACACACACAATGAAGTATAGTACATAAGAAACCCCATACACCCCTACATACTTATCTTTCACAGACACAATGAAGTATAGGACATATGAAACCACATGCACAGCTACATACTTATCTTTCACACACACAATGAAGTATAGTACATAAGAAACCCCATACACCCCTACATACTTATCTTTCACAGACACAATGAAGTATAGGACATATGAAACCACATGCACAGCTACATACCTATCTTTCACACACACAATGAAGTATAGGACGCACAAGAGCACATGCACCCCTACATACTTATTTAACACACACTACAGGACATACGAGAGCCCATGCACAGCCACATACTTATCCTTCGCCCGCACAATGCAATGCACCATGGCATTCGGGTGGGTTACAAGTAGTCGCGACAACAAGAAGGCGCCCAAGAAACCAGTACCACCAGTGAGAAGCACATCCGTCACTGTCTGCACGCTGTCAGCTGCTAGCTCTGGTAGGCCTTTGCAAGTGATAGAGGCGTCTAGGACCACCTGGCCTTCAACATCCAACTGGGTGGGTGGGGGGTGAGGGAAGGGATCGAAGAGATGTGGGAGTGGAATGAGGTATGGTTGGTTGGATCAGTTTATATGTATATATATATACATACACACACGTACACACGCATATATATATATATATATATACCATATATATATATATATACAAAAAAATGCCTATCTAGTTATATCTAAGTTTATATACGTAAATAAAAACCCATGAATGTATACCTGGGCAATATCTGAAGTGCCGTCCGCTTCTTCAAAACCAAGGGCGTCTGTAAGTTCATCCTTGGATATCTGCTTCACAACCTGAGAGTGTAATGGAGACGATTACATATAGTTGATGACATGTGAGTAGGTGACATGTGTATATGCGACAGTTGTCTCCTTAAAGGCATCGCTGGGTAGCTATGTTCGAAGAAATAAGTTCTAAAAGCCAATCAACAACAAAATTCTCAATAAGAATAATTTCTTAATAAAAAGAAGAGTGTATGTGACATGTGTGTAAGTAATATACAACACTGCTACTAGCATGAAGAAAAAAAATGGTAAACTAATTGTTTGTGCTTTAGCACTGGAGACCATTCGTCTGCTCTCATTCCAGTTACCATATACTTAGGCATGCCTATGCAATGCAACGGTCGAGATAGTCGAGCGCTAAAAACCAATCAAACACAGTATCTAAAAATAGAACACCGGTCAGGTACAGCTATAAATAGAACAATACAATCCTGCGACAAACCGTACCATTCGGAGTAGGGTAGACACCCACAGACAACGCAAAAGTAGTTGTGTGCCGCACTTCCCTATTTGGATTGCAGAACAACCGCCAGCGATTGGATTAGACTCCCTACCACGAATGGCTCAGTGCATGGTAGCCTGAGTGGCTTACCACTTGGGCTGGGAGGACCACAGCGGACGGAGAATACAGTGGACAAACAATCACGCTATAAATAGAACAGATATAAATAGAATGTGGTAGGTAGGTAGGTAGGTAGTCACACACCTGATCAATGGTACCACATCGGTACAGCAGGTCCAAAGGTAGCTCTAGCTTCAGACGTTTGCGCTGTGAGTGGGGTGATAAGATGTGCACGTGTAGGATTAGTATTATTATAGAAAAATTGGCTGGTTGTGAAGGGCCCCAGTGGCTAAAACCCTAAACCCTAAGATCTCTATAAAAGGCATCGGAGGCTAGAACCCTAAACCTTAAGCTGACTATTACATGTAGGGCTAGCCAGTTGATTGTACATAAAATCGTGATATATGTACACATGCATATAGCACATAGTTTATAACCCAGTTTATAACACGTGTATATAGTTTATAACACATGTATAGTGTAAAACGTGTACTTTGGACTAGTGTAGTGTACATAAACACATAGTATACAACACATGTACACATACAAACCCCTCAAACACACGTACACACACACCATCTCGAAGGTAACTCGCGTGGCGAAGATGGAGTGGCCGCCAACGTCGAAGAAGTTGTCGTGCACACCCACGGCTCTGCCCAGCACATTACGCCAGATGTCCTTGATTTCCACGTGCATGTTGGTCTCGTGCGTCACTCCGCTGCTGGACTGCTTTCGGCTGGCGTTCTGTTGGGATTGTCAGAGACATAGACATATGCACATACGCACGCGGCAGGTGAGTAGATGAGCAGATGAGTAGATGAAGGCAATGGGAACGGAATGAGAGAGAGAAACAAATGCGCAGTACTGGCAGAGCAATCTATCCGGGTCGTGTGTGGTGGTTTAATATTGGTATGCGCTTGTGCATAAGGCCCACGCACACAAAACGACGGTATATACACAGAAATCTATTTATAAATTCTACCTACTTGCAGAGCAATCACTGCCGCATCGGGATAGGGCAGTTTGGCTCTGTCGATCTTTGCGTTGGGTGTGAGTGGCATGCGCACCAGAGGCACAAACACACTCGGAATAGAGTACACGGGCAGCTTTGCCTTTAGAGCATCCCGCATGGAGTTGATGTCGAACCTAATTGAGAGGGACAATACGCAGATCAGGGTTGAGTTAAAGTTTATGAGTTTAAAGTTTTAGGAGTTTATGGATTTAAAGTTTTAAGCTTTTAAAGGGGTGAGGAGGACTTGCGTCAATTGGCTCATGAGCGAACCTCCGAAGGTGTATGGTATCTCTAACTTATTCTGCGGGTGGTGTGTGTACATATGTTCTAAACAGATGAATGTACACGTGTAATAAACAGATGAATGTACACGTGTTATCAACAGATGAATGTACACGTGTAATAAACAGATGAATGTACACGTGTTATCAACAAATGAATGTACACGTGTTATCAACAGAAGAATGTACACGTGTTAACAACAGATGAATGTACACGTGTTATCAACAGAAGAATGTACACGTGCTATAAACGGATGAATGTAGACCTGTTATAAACAGATAAATGTCACACGACATCACGCTACGAGCCCCATCCAGTGGTACAAGACAACAGACAGACACACAGAGAGACTTATCAAAACACGGTACATGCTGCTACAACTCTACGTGCAGGACACACACACACACACAACACTTACATATACACCACCAGGTTCATACAAAAAAACACATACATACAGACACCCTTTTGCACACACACACAGACACGCGTACAGACCGCGTGCGACTATAACACATACATACACACCCCATGCAGCTAAAACACATACACACAGACACCACACACGCGCGCGTACAGACCACGTGCGATCATAATACATACATACATACCCCATGCAACTAAAACATACACACACACACACACACACGTGCACGTATCCACCCCCTGCAACTTACTGGTTGGCTATCTTGGGCACAAAGTACGAGATGATGGTCTTCTCCTCATTGGCGTCTCGTTTGACGAGTGTGATGTTCTCCCGCACGTCTGGATGTTGGCCCAGGTGTGTGTCGATCTCACCCAACTCAATGCGGAAACCTCTGCGAAGGGCATGGCAGACGCACGGGTGTGTGTTATTAGACGATTCAAACGAATGTGCATATATGCGTGTGTGTGTGTTAATAGACGATTCAAACGAACGTGCATGCATGCGTGTGTGTGTTAATAGACGATTCAAACGGACGCGCATACATTCGTGTGTGTGTGTAAGTATAAATCATGCGCGCGTGTGTGTGTGTGCGTATAGAATCCAAACGGACATGCATACATGCGTGTGTGTGTGTAAGTATTTGATTCGAACATCGATCATGTGTGTGTGTGTGCGTGTGTGTGAGTATGCAATACAAAGTACGTTTATAAATGCAGTATAATCAACGACATAACCAACTATCTATGTGCTAAGTGTACGTCGTTGCAGACTTAGCACGCACGACGTTTGTACCAGGTGCATGCATGCGCACGACTTTGGTAGTGCGGTGCTCCTATATATATATATATATATATGTATAAAGATATATGTATATATATATATATATAAATACCTAAGTATATATATATACATGAACACATGCATGTCTATCCCCCCACCTGATCTTGACTTGGTCATCGGCCCTTCCCACACACTCCACAACTCCATCTGGCATGTATCTGCCCAGATCGCCTGTGCGGTACATCTTGTCCTTGGAATCGTCTGGTCGGAAGGGATTGTTGACAAACTTCTCAGCCGTCACCTTATCCAGTCCTAGGTAGCCCCGCGACATACAGGGTGAGCGTACGTAGATTTCACCCAGCTCACCAATCCCGGCCACCTATAAATAGAACAGGAATGGGTAAACCACGTAGTACCTATAAATAAAACAGAAATGTGTACACCGCGTGCCATCTATAAATAGAACATAACAGACTGTATGGCGGTGTGACTATACACCAATTATAGAAAGGATGACTGGGTATGGGGGATGCATTGAGTGCTCAACGTATTGGAACTCACACACCAATCCTCAAAGTACTGCTGCACAGACACGCCCACTCCTAAACCCTAATGCATGTACACACACTCCTGAACCCTAACACATGTACACACACTCCTAAACCCTAACACATGTACACACACTCCTAAACCTTAACACATGTACACACACAAAGCTTATCTGAGTCAGTGGGGATCAGCTGATGGGAGTCCTCATGCGCTGTCTACACACGCATCTAATATTAAAGAAGACTCCTCACAGGCATGTATGTAAACATCTATTGACTGAATATATATATATATACATATAATCGTTTACACACACACACATATATATATATATACCTTTCCTGAGTCCGTGAGGATGAGCAGCTGTACGTCTTTCATGCCCCATCCGGCTGGGAGGATTTCTTTGAGATCGCCAATAGACCCGTCGTTCTTGATGTGGAAATACGACACCGCGCGTTGTGTCTCGGTGGTACCGTACATGTTGATGACCTGTTCAACAACACAAAAAAAATAGGGCACTCATTAGTAGCATATATACACATATACACAAATACACACACACAGGACAACACACAAATACCCACACACAGTGGGTGTCTGTGATACTCATTAGTAGTATCTACACATATACAACACACAAATACACACACACTGTGGGTAAATGTGGTACTCATCAGTAGCATCTACACATATACAACAGCAGTGGGCCTTTACAGCACCCATGAGTACCTACACAAATAGATTGTTTTGCAAAGGCGACCAGAGTTACGTATATGGGTACAAGAAGTAAGTGCTGTATGCGTGTTCAGGGTTTTAGGGTTCAGAGTTTTTGCTACGTATATATGAAAAACCCGGCAATAGCATCCAGAAGAAAAATGAATGGCACAAGCATCAGGGCCAGACCCCTCCATATTTACGTAGCCTTTATACAAAGTCTTCTCTCAATAGCCTGTGCTTCTGAGATGTAAATATGAGTCTCATACAGATACAAATACAAAAAAATATACAGATACAAAGGTATATACCTCCTAATAAGTCCCATACAGATACAAATACAAAGCCATATACCTCCACATTGTCTGCGAGTGCCTGCAATCGCATGACATCGCGTTTGGTGAGGATATCGCCGACCAAGAACACTCGCCTGAGGTGGGGCATGGGTGCCTCGGCATTGGCTGTAACCAGCTGCGGTAGTGGTCAATTAAAGAGACACGAGGATGAGCGTGACGTGATGAGGCGGCGGCTGTGATAACTGCGATAGGGCACAAATGATTGAATGGTCGCCGTGTTGGGATACAGTGATATACACGGTACTCTGAGTGCATATATGGTATATGTACAGCAATATATAGAGTGCTCTGAGCGCATGTATGGTGTATATACAGAATCCCCCGTATATAGGTGCAAGCAACAGTGAAATGCGATATGATAGGTACTCTCATACTAGGTATAAGTATATATCAGTCTCACTATGGTGTGAGATGTGACGTATTCTGCCTCATTGTTGGTCACCGATTACTAACACAGCATACACACACACAAACATTCATTCATATATATATATATATATACATATATATGTATATATATACGTATATATATATATATACATATATATGTATATATATATATATATATACATATTTACATGCATCAGCTATACAGATACATGCATGCATACATACATACATACATACATACATACACACTTATATACATATATTTACACACACACGCACACACATAAATACATATAAATATATATATACATGTGCATACATGCATCAACTATACAAATATAGGCATACATACACACATACATATATACATATACAAATGTATATATATATATATATATATAGAAATATATACATATATATATATAAATGTGCACAAAGGCATTATACATAAACATAAACATAAACAAAAGCATGTGCATAATATAAAAATGTACATGTACATATACATGCACATATACTTCTGTACCTGGTTCATAGCGGGTGTGAGGTGTGCAACGGTGACCTGGTTGGTGGCCATCCATTGGGCCAGTTGACCTGGTGACACGATGTCTTCTTGATCGGGAATGTAGATGGTAGCTCCCATGAACAGCGGTGTGAACACATCTCTCTGTGTATGTCAGAAGAACGTATGGTAGGTAGGCGTAAGAGGTAGGCGGAAGGTATATAAAAAGGGTATGTATAGTATGCATAACAAACGTGGATATGAAATATCAAATGAATTAGCGGTACACAACACACATGGTTTATAAAATATCAAAGAGTAAAACATACACAAGAGTTGAAATGTGGTTAAAAACGTGGATGCACACACCCACACACACATATATATATATATATATATGTACACCTATATATTCAAGGTAACGATATACTATGAATCAAGCCACACCTGCTAATACACAGTGAACAAACACAGACACACTTAACGAATAAACGTTCAGTAGTAATCAGGTAATAATATGCTCGGGGTAGCTATCTCCCCACTACCACACAACGGAGATACTTAACGAATTACCATTCCGTACACACCTGAATCGGGTCGTGCGCAATTCCAGACAGCATTGTGAAACGGTCTTTTTCTCCTAGTCCAAATTTGGTCATCATCCATGGGAAGAAGTGGGTCAGAGAGATGTGCTGCCCTCGCACACCTTTAGGAATACCCGTTGAACCTGCACGGATGAGAAGACATACACTACAATATGAGATGGGTCATCCTGCATAAATAAGTAGACATACACGCGAGTATTTGATGGGTCATCCTGCATGAATAAGTAGACATACACACGAGTATTAAATGGGTCATCCTGCATGGATGACAAGACATACACTTCAATTTACTAGAATTTAGGGCTGCCCGTGGTACATATGTGCATGTCCGTGAACGTGTGTGTGTGTTCGGTCGTATTATATGTGACTGATCACAGACTTTTACGCATGCAGCTTATAGAGATGCATAAGCATAAACACAAACAATCACATATACTCTTACACATGCACCTCTTGCATGTATAAGCACATCTATTAAGACGTGGTACCATATATACAGATACAGCACTTCCGTATATAACCTTAACGAGAAGAAGGTGGCTACATCATAGGGCTGCACCACCACCACACCACATGATGTCATGGATATGTACATCTATGAAGACATGATGCCATGTATGCAGTATATGCATATCTACGAAGACATGGTACTATATAAACAGTATATGTGCATCTACTAAGACATGGTACTATATACACAGTATATAAACATCTATTAAGACATGGTACTATATACACAGTATATGTACATCTATTAAGACATGATTCCATATATACAGTATATGCACATCTATCAAGACATGATACTATACATACAGTATATGAGCATTTAAAAGACATGATGCCATAGATACAGATAGAGCACTTCCGTATATACCTGAGGTGAAGGACAGGGTGGCTACATCATAGGGCTGTACCACCACACCACATGACGTGGATTCGTATTCGGCTAAGAGTTCAGGCTCGTCTTCATGCAAACCGTTGAGCTGGCAGCATATGTTCAACTCCTGGGATGATACATATCATGTACACGCGACATGTGAGTATGCCGTACGCAAATATGCACATGCCTGATATGATGGTTAACTACATACGCGTGCGCGTGATTTGGTAGTAACGAACAAGTATGTATGGTGTGCTTGTGAGGTAGAGTGGGTGTGAGTGTGGTGAGTGTTTGGCTGCACCGGTAGGTGTGCTTGCCTAACCTGATAGAACCTATGGCACTCTCAAACACACACACACACATATATATATATATGTATGTATACATATACAATGTTAAATGATCTGAGTGCTAATAACAGCACACATTTTTACATTCACCAACGGACACCTACGCACGCATTCAAGCGTGTTGCTAACTGACTGTACAACTTTAGGACACTTACATACAAATATCTATGCAGATGCCTCTACTCGATTGGTCTGAGTTCAAAACCATGTGCACATATATACCCGTATACACTCTTACAAATATATATATATATATAATTTATCTAATAGAGTCCGTTCGCATCATCAATGTGCTTCTGCACCTCTGGGTTTATGACCCCCGCCAACTTCTGACACACAATGGCCTTTGTCTGGGCCACAAACAAGTGCGCCTGCTGACTGCGCATAGTGCTTCGCACGTATCTGTCCCTGTACATAATACACACTCATACGAAACATACGGCACACAAGAGTTATCAACACAGCCCACAGCACCCACTCACCGTGTCAATGTACTTCTGCACCTCAGGGTTCATGACCCCCGCCAACTTGAGACTCAGGATGGCCTTTGGCTGGGCCACAAACAGGTACACCTGCTGCCTCTCCACCGGATACGCCGGATCAATAACCGAGAAGGTTGCGCCAGCCTTGAGTATTCCCATGATACCTATGACAATGGCTGTGCTGCGGTGGGCGTACATGGTCACCACATCACCCGGGACAACCCCTTGCTTAATCAGATAGTGGGCCACGCGGTTGCTGAAGTCATCGAGGTATTTGTAGCTGAAGGTCTTCCTGTTTGGCAGATTCGGATGGATGCAATACATGTGAGATATATATATATATATATATATATAGACACGCACACGCACACACACACACACATATATATATATATATATACATATATCACTGTATTCTATAGGTATTTGGGCTAGGCAGTTGCTGTAGTCCATTGGCACTTGTAAAGCAAGCACTGCATAGTATACTGAACCATCCCCACACAGTGCAATGCGCATACACATGCCAATTTACAATGGCACACATACTCCCCGTGTACTACAGCAGTAGGTTTCAAGTCGTTACCCACTGCACTCGCCCATGTGATACTCACATAGCACTTTACAAACACACAAGTACTATGTACATCCCCTCCTCCTCTCACTTTACAAACACACAAGTACTATGTGCATCCCCTCCCCCTCCCCACTTTACAAAGACACGAGTACTATGTACATCACCCCCCCCTCCCCCCCCCCTTTTCCGAACAACAATACGTGCACTACAAGGACATACTCTCCATGCACCACTGCGGGTCTTTCTGGGTCTTTTTTGGCCCAATCTGAGAAGTGGTCGAAGGCCGCACCCACCCACGTGCTGTCCAGTTCCTCTAAGGGATCGGGGATTACGCGTGCACCCGGAGTGTGAGAGGCTGCAATCTCACAGTCACGGACGGTCAGGGTGTCGTCCGCCTTAGCAATCTGGCTGAGAATGATTTCGATGTGGTGCAACACCTGGGTGGCATGGGTGTGGTGTGGGTTTAGTGCACCTGTTTATGAATTTTGGGTGCGGAAGGCCTAGGGCTGGAGTTACCCCGTATGGGACAGAATCTGAACGGTGTAAAGGTCGTATGAGTACCTGTGTGAACATCTGGGTAGAGGGCCCACCTTACTTAACGTATAACGCATACGAATCTGCGATCGCATTATCCGCTATTTTCACGGTTACTGAGCACAGACTGGGGCATCATGAACGTCTTGAGTCGGTATCACATAATACGAATATATATATACATATACATATACATATATATAGATGTGTGTGAGTGTGTGTATAAATATATAAAAATAAAACATATATATATATGTAAATATATAGATATATAAATACATACATAATTATATATATATGTACATACATACATACATACATACATACATTCAAACACACACACACACATATATATATATATATATATATTATGAAAAACCCACCTCGCTCATGCGTTCACTCCTGAAGAGCACTGAGTTGTATATCAGTCTTAGACTGAGGGGTAGTAGTCGTTTGGAGTCACGGTCTTGCTCCACCAGCAAAGTCCACTCGCACATGGCTGTGGCATCGAGTGTGCTGGCGTCCACATCGACTGCGTTAAAACATCTGAACGAATACAAAAATAAGCCTTAGACCATGCAATATAGATATACCATATGATAGCTGGATAAACATATCCTTGTAGTATATGACGTAGCCCTGGGCTATATAGTGGATATATATATATACTAAATGACAACTTGAAAAAATATGCTTATGGTATATGAATTAGCCTGAGGCTATAATATATAGATTTATATACCACAAAATTCAGGTAAAATCATTTATATGGCACATGGATAAGCCTCTAACATCAGATAATATACATATAAAATAGGATCGCTATACAAACACATGCATATTGTGTAATAGACCTACTTGAGATTATAATATTGAGAGCTCACCGGATTAAGTCCCACAATAAATACAGGAGAGCACGCACGCATGGCATTTGCAATGTGTGAGCTATCTGACAATTGGACCGTGTAAACAAACACGATAGTTATATATTTATAGATACTTGTATATATATATATATATCAATATATTTATATATATCAATATATATATATATATATATAATTTAATATATTTATATATATATTATGCTAAGTCCAAACTGCAAATTTTTATATACATATACATGTACAAATGTCTATCTCGTGTAAAACATACCGAACTGTCAGCAATGGTGCTCTGGGGGCGTTGGCGTCGTGTTCTTTGGCCAATTCCGCATTGAGTGCATCGAATGGCACGTCTTTTGCCACAGACAACTCTTCGGCCGCCACCACAGCCGCAATGACCGAGGTAATGGTCTGGTCGTCTTGTACCGGTAACCGCAGTACTAAGGGATTGAAGTTCTCGGTTGATGTGCCAATCAGAACCTATGTCAAGGAAAGTATATTTAACTTAGGTATATTTAAGCCCAGGTCAGTCAGGCGCGTTACCATTGGGTACATTGTAGAGGTGAGTGTAAAGCTAATGACTGGAGATAAAGTTCGCTGTCCATGTGCCAATCGGAATGTACGTACAGATACGTATGGTATGGATCAATCCATGGCACTGGCAAACATGTATTCTGTTCGGCCACATGAAATAGGTCGCCACATTACTGGAAAACTGGATTTATCTGTGGGTGTACCTATAATGCATGCATACGTAATTATAATACAGGCACTGCCGTATGTTCTAGGTAACTTGAAGTACTCGTGGGAACACTGCCACCACACTTAGTGGTTGAAGGCAACGCAGATAGACACTAGCTCTACACAGGCATGGTATATGTATAAATAACAGTACAGGCAAGGTACGCACATGCGGAATGAATTTCAAACAACTACGAACACATGCAGATGAACACATGTACCTCGACTACATAACCCAGATGCGCCCATACTCGCATATATAAATATACACACTCTCTTATATATATATATATATATATGTATATATATATATACATATGCATATACATGTATGTATATACCTATATGTATATACATATATGTATATATGTATATACATATATGTATGTATATATATACATGCACGAGTAAACAAGTATACGTACACATACACACATACAAACACACACATATATATATATATATTACTTCCTCACCCTCGCCCGCCAGTACGACAATTGGCATGTGGTATGCACAAACACAACATCCATGCACATTCGCCGGATACAAACATACTATATCTCGTACTCCAACGCACTCTATACGCACACACCCGAACTCGCACTATAAGACGTACCTCCTCCTCAAGTGTGTACTTGTGCAGAACGATCAGAAACGCAGCCAGCACCATGGTATACGGCCTTACATCCGTGTTCAGTCCATACTGTACACATGCTTTGCATGTGGCATCGTTGAGCTTGTGCCGTGACTCGGTCTCGATGTTCTGTGAGTGAGTATAGATTGAGTGAGGTATGGGCGGGCGAGGGACAGCTACGCAAACAACTTTCGTTCGATGTGATGTTATGTATATGTATAACTATACAGGGCTTAGGATTCCTGTGTGTAGCGAAGTGAAAGTCAGTATTGGTATGGATATGTATTTGAATACAA